TTTTTCGTTTCCCGAAATCAAGCGCATGCGAGATATTTGGATTGAAAAAATCCGACGCAAAAATTGTAAGCTAACAAAGAGCTCAAAATTGTGCTCGCAACATTGCGGGAGTTCGTGCTTTGTGCAAAATTATTAAGCGATGCAATCAGTAGGATGGACAGCATGACGGCTTCGCCTTAGGAAGGATGCTGTACCCACGATTTTTGAATACTCTGTGGAGCACACAAGTGTAGCATCTAAAAGGAAGCAGCCAACAAATGTTAGAACTGCACTTGAGGAGAGACGAAGGCAAGAGGTGAATATTATAGTTATAGTTAGTTTACATTAATCAAACACTAAGCTATATAGCATTACCAAATTGAAGACAGTTTTATAATTTTAGATTATTGACGACGTTGTTTCAGAACATGACGACTTTCTTGTAGACGACGACCACGATGTGTCGACATCGGCTCGAAATGTTTGTGCGTTTAACCTCAAAGGAAGTTTGTCTAAGATAAAAGATGTCAAAATATATGTAGACAGCGAAACACAAACATATACAGTGGTAACTAATTCAGACTGTCGTTTGATCTTTTCTATGTTATTTTAACTCATAGAAAATTCTTTAACGTACCTTAGAAGCGCAATGCAAAATGCCAAGCAGCCATAACAATCCGTCCGCAAAAACACGTAAGGTCAAGAACCACTTTAACAAAAGTACCAAATATGATAAGTAGAGGTATAGACTTTCCATTTCGGCCGTTTTGATTTTTGTGAAAAATCCAGCAATGCGATAAGTTCATGCTAAGGTACGGAGATTGAGTTCATTTCAATAAAAAATCACACACACAGACGACGTCATGTGAAATTGAGCATTTTGAGTATAGCGCTGTATGGTCTGATACAGAAAGCACGTCGACGATTAGCAATAGCTACAATGGATCAGACTCTCAATGTTCAAATGAGTTAAGCGAAAATGAAGAATCCGACAATGACAATGCGACGTTAGTACCAACTATCCAGTCACCTGACTATTCTTTACATTGCTTTTCTCTGTTATTTGTTTCTCAGAACGTTACGTTTATCTCTCTCTGATTCTGATGGTAATTTTTATGTTATAGGGAAGATGCTCGAAATGAGAGAAAATATATAGTGTTTGATAGTTGCCTGAGACAGTTAGTGAGTCAATGCCCATGTTGTGGTGAAAGCTGTTCCATTGTGACGGAAACGACTGGTAGTATGGTTAACGTACTAGCAAAATGTCATTGTGGTTATGTTCGAGACTGGAATAGCCAACCTCAGCGTTGGCGAATGCATTTGGGTAACTTGGTCTTTGCTGCCAGCATCTTGTTTAGTGGTAGTAGCCTCAGCAAAGTTCTTCAATTCCTTCGTCACTCATGCATACAATTTCTGTCAGAGCGCACATATAGCTATATTCAAACAGCGTATTTGATACCCAGTGTTTCAAATGTTTGGCATATGCACGAAAAGCATCTTCTGGAATCAATCAGAGAAAAGAACATTAACCTTGGAGAAGATGGAAGATGTGATTCGCCTGGATATTGTGCCAAGTATGGGTCATATAGCTGTATGGATTTGGAATCTAACAACATTTTAGACACACAACTTGTTTAGGTAACAATTCTTTAACAACTGTACATAAAACATGATTAGAATACTCACATAATTATGTTAAACAGTCCAATAAAATGTCCAACTCTGGAGCAATGGAACTTGAGGGATTAACAAGGTGTCTAGCATAGTTTGATGAAAGTAGGATGAAGGCGAAATCAATGACCACAGACAGACATGCTCAAATCAAATCCTACATGTCAAAACAAAGACCAAAAATCGAGCACTACTTTGATGTATGGCATGAAGCAAAAGGTATAGATTTTCATAACAAACCAACCTTTTACAAATTTCATCAATAGTCAAAATCCAACAGGAATCAAAAAGAAAATTTTGGCAGCATCAAAAAAAAGTGGTTGCAAATTATTGTCAGATTAGGCTAAATCAATTTCCAACCATGTATACTGGTGTACTGCTTCCAGCAATGGTGATGAAGAACTTGTAAAGGCAAAGTGGTTGTCAGTTCTCGACCATATATGTGACATCCATGAGGGACATAGTAATGTATTCCCAAAATGTGAACATGATATGTTAGAGCCTAGAATGTGGATAAAAAAAGGTATTGTAAGCGAATAAATTTCAAAGTAACATCAACATTCTTTTTTCTTGTTAACTAACTTCTGATCTTAGGTTCAAACGCTTATGTTGAGCTGTCTTCGATTGTTGAGTCAAAGTATCTCATGAGAGATATTGGAAAACTCAGTTATCAGAAGCAGGCTTTATCCATCGAAGGATTCCACCGAGTGGTGATTCTTTTTGCACCAAAACATATCCATTTTTTCTACAGATCAATGGAAGCAAGGTAATATAATTATGACTTGTTTATCATTACTTAAAAAAGTCATCATTGCAAAAGCAATAAGTTGCAATAGTTGTAAGCATAAACTTAACATTCATTTGTTGATTGTTTATTGCCGCTCTTCATTTCAATTAGAATGGAAATAAAGCTCAGAAAACGAAGAATGGTGAGCTCGAAACAGAAGAGGCATTGATTTGGAGAGTGGCAGGGGCGGATCTAGAGTATGTCAAATCCGTCGCGCGACTGATGTTTGAAACTCAAAACTTACCTATTCATATTAGTTAAAAATTCATTAATTATTCTTACTTTATTATCGCATTTACTTCGTGATAAAAATCCAGCTTTATTTATTATTGAAAACTAATGACTAATCCAATGAATATCTCCTTGGTAACCAGATCAGTTGAATTTTAATTGACCTGGAATAACCGACTGATAAGCGGGGTGGCTTGACTGGTTCGACGGATAAAGTAGTCTATGAACGCCAAAAACGGTTATTTCATTGGTCAATAGCCAGATCAGTCGACGATCTGGAATAATCTCGACCGATAAGCGGGGTGGCCGGACCTATAAGGGAGTCCACTTGCTATCGTGTAATTGGTTCGTTTAAATTTTTGTCTTACTCTGATTGGTTTGACCTATTTCGACTGATAGCCAACTGAACTAACATAGTCAAGCTCACTGTCTGAATTGAATGTTTGATCGTTTCATAATAATTTTCTAAAGCATGATAGAAACTAAACTACAATGAGATAGAATTTATGGAAATCTTTTACAAATCCATATATTGACATGAATGCTGCTTTCCAAACTGGGAATTTTTTCAAGAGGGCGAAAATTTTATGGACGAATTGTAAATGCTTGGCAAAGACGATCTCGCGAGCGACATTTCAGTCATTGATGTTCAAAGGCAAGCCAACATTGTTTTGAGTTTTATCAGCAGAAATTTACATCCAAAATCGTAAGTAAAGGACAACTGAAGTGTATGCATGAATGTAATATATCAAAGTCAATTTATGCGAGTGTGTGATGCGATTTATGTTAATATGGCGTATGGTAAGCAGATTGATGCTTCTAAAATTGTTGTTGCCGAAGGACTTTTAGCTATGATTTCTTTAGTGCTTGGGAATCGTAACCGTTATATGGCAGCCAAATCCTACATTCCTGCAAATATATTTCAATGGACAAAAAATCTGTAGCCATAAGGCGCCATACTATTATTTACTTTATCATAAACAAATGTTTGGGGCTTTTCAGTTTATGATCATTGATCATTCAATCATTAGACAGTTATACTACATAGTGTTTAAGATTTGAGAAAACTAACATTGATTACATGAGAAGCTGTTTACTATAACCTGTGATTTTGAGTCTTTTCTGATCCATGAAGCTTTTTATTTTGACAATTCGACTGAAATGGTATTAAACCTTTGTATTTCACATACATGAAATGTTGTCCCATGTCACATATTGTCCCCTTTTATAACTGAACACCTCATGTAGAGATGTAAAGTTGTGTTAATCTACAGCTCATACCAGATTGTTTGCCATAAATTCCAAAGGTCTATTGATGTATGAAAAGCATTTTCTATAAAGTAAAAATGTCTTCCTATGTATGCAGATAAACCTTGAAATTTGGCAAAACCGCAAAGTATTTTTCATGATCACTAGGTAATTTTTCTGATGATCATTATAATTTCTAAACTAAATTATTTCAGATTTACATTTAAACGAGTTTTGATCATATGAAAAGATATTTATCATAACCAGTAAGCATGACACATGAACCAATTTTAACATTCATGTAAATATATAATTAAAGACATGTTGGTTACATTCTGTTTGTATTTGATAATACAATGCTACTAGTGATTGCTATATAGCACACCTTGAAGAAGATAATAGTCAAGTGAAATGCCTAATAAACATTTATGGCATTAAGCTGTCCTTAACTGCAAATTTTCACTCTGATAATTTTTGCTTAATCTTTGGCAGAAAAAAATTTTGAGTTTTTTGTCAAAAGGTGAATTTGCTTATACTGATGTGGAGATGGGTAAAGGGTTACAATAAACTTGCATGGTTTGAAGTCTGAGCTTTTCTATATCTATGAACTGTCACTTGTAGTACCAAATTTCTAACTTAACTCATTACATAGAGGTTTGAATGGGGGTCTCTAGGGGGGTCTATGCCTGACAACTTGGGAGAAATTTTTAAAGGCTATATCTGTTTTTGAATATAGCATTATTGTAAAATATATTTTACGTTCTTAGACATGCTAATGAGCCATATATTTGGCATAATAATAAGCCTAAATATTTGGCAAAACATTCAAGTATTGTTCACTTCATTTTTTTTTGGAAAAAAACGTAACCAAAATGTGTTGTATTTACGCAAAAACGATGCCCACAAAATACATTTGGTAATGCTCTAAAACGCTGAAAATGGCATTTTTAAGGCTCTGAAATTCAAAATTTCTCAGGAGAGATAGCCTCAGACCCCCCCAGGTGCGGAGCGCCTCCGACGTTTTATGACTGATGTTTGAAAAATCCTAGATCCGCCCCTGGAGAGTGGCTTATTCAAAGTCAAAACAAGGGGTCATCAAACCAGTGAAAGTTGACAGCACTTATGGTTAGCACAGAAAAATAAACTTACCTTTTCTCAAAGTGCAATGCAAAGCCAACATAAATAATGATTTGCTTTTCAGGATATGTTAAGGACTTGATGAAAGAAGTTTTGTACTGCAGACGCATTAATCCAACACTGTCCAAAGCTCTTGATGTCGCTGGAGTGAAAGAAATACATGTCCCATTGACTCGCCACAAATCAAAAATCAGCAAAACTGAAGCCATTAAGCAACATAAATCTTGCTTTAATAAATAAAACGCAACTAACCATTCAACATTTCCAATTCTGTGAATGTATTCATCTTCGCTTTCCGATGACGAAGAATTGTCATCATTTTGACCACCTTGCGCGTTGGCCAAAGGCTCAAACATTTAAGGTTGTACCTCATTGTTATTGATGACAATATTATAATCGGCTTTTTCATCAGAAGAATCCATTAATTTTTGTCAAATAAAAAACAGTAATAGCAAACTACCGAAAGCCGTGCAAGCACCGCGTGCAAGTCGTAGAACGATATTAAGGCTAGTTCACATATGTCTGCGGTGTGCCTGCGTTTTTCCTGCGGTATGATTTGGGTATGATTTCGCAGGCAGCCTGCCGGTATCCTGCGGTATCTCTGCACTTGCCTGCGATTTCTTTATGTGGTAATTTTCTTCAAAACAAAAATGGCGGTAAATAAACGACACTTGACTTCTTTACTTCTTTCAAATTACTCATTACTGTTAACTTTGGTAAATACTTACGTGCAGGGAAGAAAAATGAGAGCACAAAAGAGGAAAAGAAGGTTTTGGGTGAGACCAATGCTACAACAACGCAAGAACTACGGTCAATTTCACTGTTTATTAAAAGAATTACAGTTGCATGATCGTGAATACTTTTCAGGTATAGGGCTGTATTTTATGCGAGGAGCATTGCTCGATTATATGAGTTTTATATTTGAAAATGTTATCAGGCGTTTGTGTGCAAACTTGTTACTAGAATTGAGATGAACACGTTTTATTTCAAGGTTCACAAGAATGAGTCCTGAACGATTGGAGCATTTGTTAAGTTTAGTTGCACCATATATGAAGAAACGAAGTTGCCGGAGTAGAGAAACAATCTCAATTAAACGAAGATTGGTGGTTACACTACGATATCTTGCCACAGGTGACTCACAAGAATCCCAATCATTCAATTTTCGAATTGGTAGAAGCACAGTGTGTATGATCATAAGAGAAGTTTGTGATGCAATTTGGAAAGCATTACGAGATGAGTACTTGAAGCTTCCCAAGTCAGAAAGGGAATGGCATGGTGTTGCAGAAGAGTTTCTTCAGGAATGGGGGTTCCCTCATTGTATTGGAGCTATCGATGGAAAGCATGTAAACATCGACTGTCCCAAAATGCTGGATCTCTCTTTACAACTATAAAATTATCACAGTACTGTGATCATGGCGATTTGTGATGCAAAGTATAGGTTTTTATTTGTGGACATTGGAAGCTACGGGCGTGACAATGATGCAGCTATATTTTCACAAACTGAGATAAATAAAAAAATAGAAAATGGGCAACTTGGCATACCAGGACCGTTTATGGTTAGTGAATATAAGTTGCCTTATGTTATCACTGGAGATGACATTTTTCCGTTGAAAACCTGGTTGATGAAACCATATCCTGGAAAAGGTCTTACTCAAGAACAAGCTATATTTAATTATCGATTGTCTAGATGCAGACGAACCATTGAAAACACCTTTGGAATACTGGCAGCTAGGTGGAGAATTTATAGACGACCAATTCGAGCTGCAATTACAACTGTAGATCTTATTGTTCAAGCAACTGTATGCTTGCATAATGATTTGTCATTAACTCAAAACGCATATTATATTCCAAAAGGTTTTGTTGATGTTGAAGATGGATCTGAGAATATTATTAATGGGGAATGGAGACACATCACGCAAGGGGATGAGAGCACTTTGCAAGCAGTTCGACGAGTTGGGAGCAATTCTTATTCATTTACTGCAAAGTCTGTGAGAGAGCATTATTGTGAATATTTTAACAGCAACTATGGAGCCTTGCCCTGGCAGCTAAATTATGTTAGATACTGTGGAAAAAGATGCTGAAATGTTTATCAGCTAAATATGAAATTTTCAAAATACAATATTTGGGTCTATATGTAATCCTGAAAACCCTAATGTAAAGGGAGGAATTTGTAAACAAGCAATAATAATTCATCTATTTAAAGTTCTTAACTTCTTTTAAGAAACTAACAATCTCCTTGGTCAAGATTGTTATTGAAGTTCATCCTTTGCTGACTTAAATTATGGTGCTGCATCCATGGGTTAGGGGGGTGAGAAGAAGTATGGATTTTTTTGTGTGGCCTGTTGTTGGGCATTACATTCCATTTCCATTTCGTTCATCACTTTCAAAATATTTAGCTGGAGCAAAGACTTGTGTGAAGATGGGATGCGTTTGAATTTGGAAACCAAGCTCAAGCAAAACAATGTATCTTCATCATTTTTGGCAATGTTTCCCATGTCAGCATCTGAAGAAGAAAGTTGCAATATGGCGGAATTGATGCCATGCATGGTCTTCATGACTTCCTTTTCAAACCCAAGTGCTGTGTTAACTTTTTTATTCTTAGCCCATGGCCTGCAATATTTTTCTTCTTCTAATGAGCATATCTTTCTTTTGTCAAGCGTTTTACTATCTTTGACTATCTGTATAGCATCATTATTACCACTACCAATATCTGCATCCAAGTCTTGTCCTCCATTGGATGAGGTTTGATCAGAAAAACTGGCTGATATATCGTCCGAATCATCGTCTACAAACACCGTGCTAACTTTACTAGATTCGCTTCCCTCATCAGTTAGTTCTATTGATGCATGGGAAGTTTTCCCAAGAGGATAGTTCGTGGAAGTTGAAAAATTACTTGTTGTTTGACGATGTCGAATATGTGTAATTAACCATCGCAGATGTTCTAAATCAGGCCTGATTTTAATATCTGCCCGACCACTGCCTGATTTTCCCTTAATATTCTTTATGTACTTGGAGAAATTTGTTCGTATTGTGTTGTATCTTTTTTGCACACTTGCAACGTCCAATTCCAAAGCTTCTGCCACAGCTTGCCAAGCGTTTTGTTTTATCCTTTGATTTTTGTAATCTGGACACGATTTATCGTATATAGCACGATATATACGTATGGTATCCATAAGTGCTTTGTTCTTGACTGTTTCAATAACTTCATTGGTGTCTGAATTGTTATTTTCGTCCATTTCGGTGCTTTGTATTGTGCGTTTTGCTATTTCGTCCGCCATGTTATCCACATCAGACCGATGCATTGTGGGATTCGACAAATCGTTCAGGCATAACGGCGGACCATTCACATATATGTAATTGCCGCCGTATACCGCAGACATATCGCAAACTTGCCGGGAAAGTTGAACTCTAGTCAACTTTCCCGGCAGGCCGCCGATGTTGACACAGATAACCTGCGTTACCGGCGAGCGATTGTTCACATATACAATAAATAAGCGCAGGTCTTGTCGGCGGTCATTTCGCAGGCACACCGCAGGCATATGTGAACCAGGCTTAAGAACGATGCTTGTTTATGTCAACAAATACGTCACTCTTTCCCAGTTCCCAGACTTAAACAATCTCACAGCGTTTTAGCAATGGTCATCGAATGTCGTGTTTTTACCGATTATAACCCTAAATATCTTTTGAAATATTTTGCGGACGACTTTGAAACTTGGTACGTCTTATTTTCACGCTATAGGCATTACAATAAAATAACGTTGTCTTCTAGCTTGCATTTGTCCTTTAAAGAGGAAAGACGAAAAAAGTCGGGCGGAGAAGAGATGAAAATATCAAGAATGATGTTCGGCATAGTCTTAAAAAACTTGTTGAAGAATGAGGAAATTGGAAGAAGGACAGCGGAAACAGAATTAGGAATGAGCAACTGTGCAACAAAGTTAATTACAGTGGTATTTTCAGTTATTGAGCTGATAAGCTAATTAAACTAAGCATGGAAAGAAGTACCAAAAAAAACGGTGGGAGAAGTATAGGAAAAGACGAAAAAATGGTATAAGAAACGTGAACTTAAAGAACAATTTACCCAGGACTGACTGTGGTGAAGAGGAATCATGACCACCAAACATGTTAAGAGGCGAAGTCAAAGAAAAACAAAGAATTTAAACCCAATTTTATGCATGCGATTACTTGTGGAACATTTGTTTGCAGTTGAAGAATAATGTGATCGAAAACAGTTTTGGAAACTATTCTAAGAAACTAATAGAAAACTTTTTAACTTGCGTATTTGATAAAAAATGAAAAAAAAATTTTTGAATATATGTCTTGTAAAAGTGCTTAAATTGTAATAGTATTGTAGATTCCTAAAGCTGTGAATAAATATCTTATATAGACACACATTTGAGCTTTTATAAATTACTAGTTTCATTTGCACAGAATAGTTTAGTCCTGCTGCACTAAACAATTCCAGTTTAATCTTACTAAAGCATCACTAGCTGAGAGAATGACACATGCATTACTACAATGAAAAATAAAAAACTACACGACTTCCTTGCGATAGTCATGCACACTGGCCATCTATCCAAGAGAACAAGCATAGCATGGAACATACTCTACAATATTTTTTTCCAAATTAACACTCACAACTTTTATTTCTCAATCACGCGACGAAAAAGTGATTGTGTAACTGACCTCTGTAATTCCAAACGTCTTCACTTCTTTCCCCAAGAAAATCAAACAGGACTTTCAACAAGTTTTGCTCAAACATGACAGGAATTAGTTTCAGCAACAGCATTCAAATGAAGAATCTTGAATAGCATATCTAAAGATTATAGTTAGTGACTTGGTCAACATGTGTAAAGTAGCGTGCAGAGTCCATTTAGATAATACAGTATGTAGCATTTACGTTTGACAATTTGTGCTGATGAACTTTCTGCACACATCGTACAAACTACGGCAAAAGTGAAAAACTTAAAAAATGCAGCTCATTGTTATCATTTAAACGCTAATGAAGTTTGCCTTTTGTTTTGTTGATTTAAAAAAACAATGTCCTTAGCCTATGCTTGTTGTTTGAACACCTGAAAAGAAGTCTGCCGAAATACACCGTGCTCTTAATTGAAAATGACATTTTTATTACAGTATACGTTTGGTTTTTATTAAGAAATTTTTAAAACTACATTTCCTAGAACAAGTTCATTTTCTTTGCAGCAAAAGGAATGTATATTGGTAACTTACTTATTATTTATTGTGTTAGTAATGCAAATAATTATGCCTGGAAGCATAAATACGATGAATTGAGACCCCGTTCACATAATACTGGTAGAGTTTGAAACGATTCAAAACTCTTACGGTATGGGGTAATGTTCACACAACACCCGTATGAAAAAGTGTGAAACCGTAACCCTAGCCTAAAACGAACCACAAGATGGGCATTAAACGAAATTGGCAGAATCAATTCTTGGAAAAGAAAAATTCCTAGTAGGCTTTTTTCCCTTCTTTGAGCTAAATTTTGCAAAACACACACAGGCTTACGTCATTGAGTTGTGACATGTTGTATCAAACACCTATGATATGGCTAGGTGGCTGGAGTATTGCTAATGAAATCCATTGTTATGTAAGACATTGTATGAAAAGTAAGGCCTTCTGCGAAAATACTCAAATCTGGTGCATAAACAAAAAAATTGTGTCTTGGATTTTTAATCAACTCTTGATAAGTCACCTCCAATTAATTATTTTTTATGTTATCATCCGCAAGCCGGATCTTTTGATAGAGAAAGCTTAATGAAAAAAATAATGGTGACTATCAAGTAACGAAAAACATTTCAATCTTCATTTGTCATATATTAACGAAATGATCGGAGAAGAGCTAAACTGTTCAAACCATGTTTACTAAGTAAAAATGTTGATATGGAGTTGAAATTGAAGACAGCTAGCATCCCGACAGTTTTGGGAGTTTAAAGAATCTTAATCAACTGGGATCTTACTGCACATTGCAAAAACTTTGTGTCTAAAACAACCAAGAAACGTCAGTTTCGGATGCAACCAGAACAACAAATTGTTAAAAAAAGGGACCAATATAAAATTCGTTTTTTCTTACCAAATGTTGAATTGGTTGCCAATTGTTAAAACAATCAAACAGAAATTGGTTCAAATTTTCCTTACGCATTTAAAATTGGTTGAAATATTCAATAACATAAACCTCAAAAAATTGGTTAAAATTAATAATAGTTTGATAAAAGACACACAAAGTGTAACATAGCTATGAATGTAACAAAACTTACTTCTGAGTTGTATAATCTCAACCAAAATTGTACTAATGCAATCCATTATAAAAGTTTCTAAGGAATGTGTTTTTGCAAGGCGAAAACAGAAAAAATATCAAATTTTAAAATTTATTATTGGGTAGATGTGTATCTGAAAAATACCGTAAACATTAGAATTGTTGAATTCATGTTCAACAAATCTTTCTATAAAGTAAACAGTTAATGATCTAAAGAAAGATTCAACTTAGGAGATGACTAGAGTTAGTTTTAGTGAATCAGATGCATGCTGATAAAAACCGTTTTAAACTGAAATAGCTAATATATTGATCTTATTAGGAATTTGTTGCGAAAAATGTTGCGACACAGTTTTTTACCTAAATATATTGCAATTCTTTTAAAGCTCACAAAATTGTGTTTTACGACTCTATAGTTTGTGGAAATTTTTAGTTTTTTACTGAGTTATTCTTAGGTTCACTTTATATGTAGATTTACTATAGAAAACTACGGTTATTCATAAGCTTATAGTTTTGGGAGAAAATACTCCTGCATACAATTGGTCTTACACACTGTCTTACAATTTTTGCAAATTTTCATTATTACAGAAAACGGTTTCTTCATTCAAAAATGCAGTTTCTCAATTAAAATAATTTATCATGAGATTCGATACTATGACTGGTTAATATAGCTGAGTGCAAAACTAAAAACAATTTTAAAAATATCGCAATAAGCTTTCATGTTACGAGATACTTGTTGTGAAAGTACTCAGAGTTCTTAAAATCAAGCATCTTCAGAGCTTTATCCAATTTTAAACACAAATAGTATTTCTCGGCATCTTCATAATTATCGTATTCATAAACATCATCATCGCCATTATCATCATCATCGATCTTGCACACGGCATAAGCAAAAGGCCGCCAAACATTTACTCGATCTTTGAAATAAACGAGACTTCCTGAGTCACCATTCTGCAGAAATGGATTACGACTTTTTATTTTCACAGCATTTTTGAAAATAAATTTCGAACTTTTGTCAATGAAAGAAAAATTTCGCTCACTTATATAGCCCGTAATTTGATTACTTGTTCGCACTTCCACAACTCCTTTCTTGCTTTTTGCCGTTTCGTAAAGTTCTTCATTTGTTTCTTTCAAATTCAAGGCAAGACTCTTCATTTCATTTCCACCGAGACGCTGAAAATCTTCTTTCTTACCGATTGGAATACACATGATATCTGCTTCACTGTTATATTTATTGATCGTGTTACAGGGAAAAGTACCAAGTGCAAGTGGTTTTTCTTTGTTACAGTTGGGTGGCTGATAAAAATATTTGTTCCCATCATTTTCATTTCGCGCAACATGAGCGCATGTCAATACATAATAGTTTTCTTTGTTACGACAGAACATTGTTAAAGTACCGTGAGAGCTGCTGTTCACGTGAAAATCATCGTTATGAAAACTATCGTTATTTTGAATGTGAATATCGCCATTGAATGGCAACGTGCTATCCTCAGGGCGGAGGTTAGATAACAGTCGAAACTTTACTGCTTTTGATGGTTTATTCTTGATTTCAATAAAAAACGAAGCTTCCCAACCAAACACATCATCAATTTCTTTTCTCAAAATATCTTTTGATTTTCTTTCTACGTTATCAACTGTGACATACAAATGTTCATAAGGCATGTTTTCGTTTGGACCCAGTAGACCATAAGCTTCACAAACCCACGGCAAACTAAAAGTATGGGACAAAAAATAGCTATAAAGGAATGGTAAATGAGTAATGTGCTCTAGTTTTGGGTAATGGATGTTGTTATAAGATAATTTCTATACATGTCTCAACTCCAAAAGCAGTTTATCAGGACTGCAACAAGTAGCACAAAAAGTCCTGCTATATCAGTTTTAGAGCGTTGTCATCGAAGAACTTTTCACATGCTGTCCGCCATCCCCACTGCAATTAAGATCAAGTTATTTGTTGGCAATCGTTGCTTCAGAATTTGCCTAAGTAAAATCGTTTAATGTAAAGTAAAATGGCGGTGGTTAAGATTATACGAAAACCAATTTTAGAAAACTGACATTGCATAATAGATAAGACTTATTCTATTTCACGAAATAAGGATCTTGTAAAACATATATTGAGGAACGAAATACAGAAGCCATTCGTTTACGAATGATAAACAACAATAACAGTCGGGTCCAATCCCCTTATTAATTAACGATTATCCCATTATGCTCTATCCACCCCAAAGTCTTTTCTAGTTTTGGAAAGCGTAATATAAAGTTGTCCTTTGATATTTGTTCATCATCTCAATTTTCAAATAGCCCTTTCTTGCTGAAATCGAGTAATCGGCGTAGAGCTAGTGGTGCTTACTTGCTAGGCTTTGTGGTCGCTGGTGTGGGTTCTCTGGCATCCTCAGGTATCTTGGTTGCGTTTGGTGAAGTCCCATCTGCGGTATCTATGCTCGGTAGTGGTGCTGGCTCCGGGGTATCAGTCTGTGTCTCCGGTCCTAGACGTGGTAATGACGGTGTTGGTTTTCTGCTGGCTGGTTTTATTTTGTTGGGAGTAGGGTTGTCCAGTGAGACTTTTGGTATTGGCAGCAGGTCCGTATCAGTAGTATATTTGGGTGACTGCTCTTGTACAGGTGTGAATTGCCTGAGAAATTTTCTGTTTCTTAGTGTAATTCTGTTGGACCCGTCAACTTTGACGCGGTATTCGTGGTGTTGAAGGACTTCGATGGCTGTGCCAGTCTTGTCCATTTTGTGGGGTACGCTCCTGTTTGGTTTAGTATTCTTATGTGATGTCAAATGTCATGGACTTAATGGGTCTACCGAAGACACATTGGGCCCGTGATAATTTCGTATCAGTATCAGGCGTATTACGATATTGTAGAACAGCAAGTCGTTTGTGTTGAGGCTACCAGTAGGGCCGGCATTGTTCGTGATGAGACGTTTCACAGTTTTAACGATAACCTCGGCGGGGCAATTTGAGTGCGGGAATGCAACGAAGGCGAGGCGGTGGTGTACACCCATCGTTTGAAGAACTGCCGTGTTTTGACGGCGGTGAATTCAGCTCCACCGTCAGTAGCGCATTCGTCTGGAATCCCTAAGGTGGTAAAGAGGCGTCGTAGGCAATTGATTAGTCCGTCGCAGCCGTCTTTGGCTTATTTGATAATAGGCCAGTTAGAGTAACGGTCTACGAATACGAGATAGTTGGATCCTTTGTAGTGGAAATAATCCGCACAGATGCACTGTAAGGGGTAGGCTAGTGAGATGGTTGGTGTAGGTAAGATGCAAACACCCTCATGGATTTTATTTATGATTACGGATTTGGATTCCTCAAAGAGTGCGTTGAGCTCCTCATCCCAATAAAACTTCGTGCAGGGTTTTAGCAGTTTTCTAAACTGCAGCATACGTTCATATGGTCATACACAGGCTATCAAGCACTGCGTTCTCCTGGTCTCGGTTTGCGTTGTGTTTTGCATCCCAACGCTTAGCTTTGTCTTTGCTTCTGCACATGGAAGCGTTGTGGTTAGGGCGTTCGCAGTTTTCGCACATTTTACCGTAAGCCGGGCATTTTCGTCGTCGGACATTGGGTGGGGCGTTCCTACCATGGCCATGTTTGCCACTGTAGGAACATAGTCCGATTTTATTGGTTTGCACGCCCTGGGTCATATTTTCTTGTTTGCCGCGGCGATATTGGCTTCTGGTTGCATCGATGCTTCGGCTGTTAAGGAGATGTGTGGCCGAACGTCTGCCAGCTTCTTTGGCTTCCATGAACAGAAATGCCTCCTCCAGTGTCATATTTTAATTTTATCGCTGAGCAGGTCTAGGTTGATGTCGCTCTCGGCGATCCAAACGGGTAATGTGTCGCGGAGGATATTGTCCGCGTAGTTGATTTCTGTTGCACAGTTGGGACAGTTAATCGTAAATTTGCATACGCTGGCTTGTCTACGACGATGTGCGCCGAAGCTGCGAATTGTTTCGTCACGATCCTGGCTCATGTTGTGCAGTTTGATACGGGCCAGCATCGTGTTTTCCTCTCGTACAGCGAGTTCGCGGACTGCAGCCATGACGTCGTCGATGGGTTTGTTTGTGAGGGTGCCGCCAGCGTTTTTGGTGAGGTCCTTACGAAGCGTTTCGTCACAGCATTCGAGTAATTGGATGACTTTGTATATGCCGATCGTTTTTGTGGCTTCGACATAATCCTGCCAGCGTGTTTGGAAATACGTCACCTCACCGTACCCGGCTACGGATATGGTTGACCTTCTGAGTTTTTCGATCTTGGCTGTGGCGTTGATGCCCGTGGGTGTGTTTGTCGCTTGGTTGTTGTTGTGAACGCCGGTCGAGTGAATTTGTAATAATACCGCTGCGAGTTGGTCCTCAGCTTCCTCTGTCTCGTATTCACAGTCTGGACAAGAGCATTTTTACCTCGGCATTTTCTTGCACGCGTAAAGTTACGACCTGCTAATAGTGAATGGGAAGTACTTGTAATTAATCAGCGCCGTCGGGAAAATGGCGCCAAATATTCGCAATCGATAAGATGGTGGTTTACATTGTAATTTTTGCTTTATCTCAGGGTCAGGAGGGAGTGTTATTGATGCCTTTATCGGTGCTTATCGTTACTTTGGTTGTAAGGCTTCCCTTGGGTTGATAAATTTCATAGATTTGCTCCTGTCCCTTGGCCAAATAGGTTCCGTGTTGTTGCTGACGGCGTGTCGCGTTTTGAACTACTCACAGTGTTGGGTCGTCCGATCTTTTCGTGTGTATTTAGCTCGTCTGCTGTTTTAGGTGGCTTAGTTGTTGTTTATCATAGATAAGACTTAGTCTATTTCACGAAATAAGGATCTTGTAAAACATATATTGAGGAACAAAATACAGAAGCCATTCGTTTACGAAAAAACAAACAAAACAAACAATAACAGTTAGGTCCAGGCCCCTTATTAATTAACAACTATCCCATTATGCTCTACATAACACTCGAATATTAGTCTCCAGTCCTCTCAAAAAAACTTACTTTTTCAATATGTCATGTATGTCGTCTCGAAGATTGTATTCTTCGTCGAGAAACCTGTCTTTAAAGACTTCAACGTTGTTGACCCACTTAGTGCAGCTAGACTTGGTTTGTTCTAAAATTCAGACAATTAAATATCACACGCAGTGTGATATTTCATCTCTTCAATTGCATTCCAAAAATAGAAATAATACTTGTGATTAAATTCAAGCTTACCGTTATCATCTTCGATATCTTCGTAAACTGGCTCCACTTTTGTAAAATAATACTGATTGCCAGGGGCGGAAAGTTTGTAAAAATTTTCTGTTCTTTGATAAGCGCCCGTCTAAAAATTGGACGTTTTAATTAAATACAGATATGATGTAATATGACACTGAGTTGCTTAAACGAAATATTCTCTGTCTGATTTTTTCTCAAGCAATCATTTTCAATTGTTTCTTGACACACAATCATTTGTATTGATTTGATAAAACTTTAGAAATTTATGGCTGTAGGCATTGATTAAAAAACTGGTGATGTTTCTCCTAAAAGACGACATCGTGCACTTCGCGTTTGCTACTGTTAATTAAAACTAATATGTATTTAGATAAATTGTTTAATGTTTGCTGCATGTAAACGCTTAATAGTATATTGCGCTAAGACTAAATGCAATCCTGGTAACTGTAATACAGATAAGTTTAATATTCTTTCGATTTTCATCAAAGCATCATGCCTAAGCAAAGCAAACTACACAACCAAATAATGCATTATCTGGTACCTTAAAACACAATGTCTTTGCTATTTGTTGTGCCTGTATTTCTGTTATGCGTTTTGCTTTCACGCACTTTGCAAGAAGAGCAAGTAGAACCTCTTCCTCTGACATTCTTTGGTTAACATTTAATCCTCTATCCTTCCTGTTGTCATCAATACTTTTCAAGTCTAAAATTAAAATATTTTTAAAGGTAAACTACCCAGGAAAAAGTACAAGTGATTTTGTAATCATACGAGTGATTTTGTATTAAAAAATGTACCAAAATCATTCGACGAATCAAGATGATTACGCAGATGGTGATATTATGGCATTCGGAATTTCTTTGTTGGCAAAAGAATATTTATCAAGCCATGCAAAACCTAGAGGCATGTAGCAGTAGTTTTTTGTTTGTTTATTTTTGGCTTTACTTTTGAGTGATCGGGATAACTGTCACACAGTAAAGTTAAAGATTTGCATCAGTTTCAGCTTTTCATATTATGTACTGTGTTGCCGTCTCAAGAACAGATAAGACTATCTTATGCAAATTTTTAACAAGCACATTGAGTGCAAAGAAAAATAGCTACTCCACTTTTTAAAGCTTTCATCAAAAAAAGTCAATTATGAAGTTGTTGTATTACTATGTTACATGAAGGAAAGTATGCCTTAAAATAGGTTTTAAGTTAGGTATACCGTCATATACTTCTTCGTCAACGTTCATGGCCATGGGAGTATACTGATAATTGTCGATAATGTATCTGTCATAACACTTTTCCATGATCTCAGTTATAAAAGGCACGTCATCGTAAAAATCCTCGTCTTTGTTCTGAAAATAAGAAACTTTAGCTATAACAATTTATATGCTTCGAGGAAAACGAATAAATACGATCACCCAAGATTCTGTCCGCAAGATTTGCAACTGTACAGTAATTTTGAACAGATAAAGAATTTATTTCTCATATACAAAGACTAATCACTACATTTTGGCGAGGGAAAGATGCTTCTTTGTTCTAAATGATTCAGTTAAGTAGAGTGGATTTTATCAAGTTTACATAAACACCACTCTGTCATTGTCACCATGTTTTGTAATGCAATTATCCCACATATAAATCAAATGAATAATACATTAAATGTCTTTGCCACATGAGAATTGTATGTCGATGTGAGTTAAACAACACATGCTTCACGCACCAGAATGTAAGAACTTTTTGCAGTCTAAGACAATACAGGAAACCATGTTTTTAATCCCACTATGTTAACAGTGTTTCACACATTGACACCTTGCCCCAGGTTTATTTGACAATTTTGGCACTCTATATCCACACTCTACCCAATTTCAAATGCTCATAAAACATAATTTTCAAACTAAACATTTTCACATTATGTACGAGATAGCTCAATCTCTTTCTTATAAAATATTTAACTGTAGCTATGGTTATATCTGCACAGATTATTACCAGGTCTTTTTGTTTTTTTGGCACCTCAAACTTTCTGCTGTCAATGCCTTCAAGTAGCTGTTGAACAAAATCCAAAGAAACTCTTCCCCCTTCTAATATGTGACAAACGATATCTGTATTAGATTCGAACATGAAATCAATTCCCTTGGCGATGAGCTGCTGTGGGGATCCAGATTGTTGATAAGTAATAGTCACTTTTGTTTTTTCTGCAGGATAATAAACTAGAAAACATTTGATATTTTATTAATATTGTAAAAAGAAATGACATTTAAAGAAATCTTAACATCTTGAATAAAATTTGAACATAAAAAATAAGGCATATATCTCAAAAACATTTGTAATCATGAAAAAATGTACTTACTTGGCGTGCTGATCTTTAAGGTGAAAGTATTGAGCAGTTTACCAAGAACAGTTAATTCGCTATGTTCGCCTTTAAAGGTAAATAAATATTGCCCCTTTGTTGGAAGAGGTTTTTGAAACGAGAAAAGGACAGCAGTTTCTTCCTGGACATGGAAAAAAAATTACTTTAGAATATAGTTTTTTCTTAATGAAAATTAGAACAAAAAAGACTAATGCAAATAACTACTGTTGCTGGGTAAGTTAAAACGTCGTTTACTGAAACATAATTTTGAAAGTATTTAAAAGCCAACATGCTGTTATACAATGAGCATTTTTTATACAAACTGAACTATATTGACAACACGCACTTATGTAAATTTCTGTCATGCATGAAAGCACCCTCTGTCCAGCAAAGTTTTAACAATAGCTGATTTAGATCATAGTAATTTAGTATATTGAGAAGCAGTATTAGCTAATAACATTTTGTGATTTGAAGTTTTGCAAACTTAAGCACTTACGTCACATAAAGCTTTTGAAGGCACAATTTCTTGTAATGAAAACTTTTTTTGTTCTATAGTTCAAAAAAACAACAAAAAGATTTTTCAAATGAAACAAATCATCAAAACAGCCACTTTTATTTTCGAACTGCATTAAGGCTTCATACCTTGTTCATCGTTTCCGTTAGATTGCTATAATAATGCATAATATATAAACATTTAGCATATCACAAAAATATTATGGTCTTCTTTAAAGAAACTTACTTTTAAATCTTTTATTATCTTCTTAGGTAGGTAGCCAATTCGCCCCTTGATTCCAACGTACCACCAATAGTCATCATTTTTATCGAAAATCGTAACTTGTTGTCCTTTGTAAACTGATAGTACATTTTCGTCTTCGCTCTCATATCTAGCTAAGGTTCGTCCGCGAGATATGATCGCAATTTCTCGGTCAGGAAGGGGGGCTGCCAAGTAATTTACAGGCACCAATCCAATTCGACCATACAGATTCCTCACCTTCCACCAGTTTTCATCATTGTTATCGACAACGTCCAATATCTCGTTTTTTTCAACTGAAAGCTCATCCACAGCTCTTCCTTGGAAAGTGTATAAAACAATAGCAAGAGACATAGCTCAGCTGAAAGTAAAATAAATCAAATACACATCACAAAATATGATAAAAATGGTTCATTGCGAGTGTCTCTACATGATGTAGTTATTCATCACGCAGATCGCAGATCGAAATACTTGATGCAACAAAAAAACAATAAAACATACACTTTCCCTTTCCTATAAGCTATCTTTACAAAAACAGCGTCAAACTTCAAACATTTTTAAGAATCACTAGTGATGATGCACGCTTAGTACAATATAGATTTGTTAGCAAAATTGTTACTCTTAATTTTTTGAAATTCGTCAACTCAGCACATTCATGCATGTATTGAAGCATCCGATGTTTTATCAGAGCATCGCAGCAGCCTATACGCAAAAAGGCAGCGTTGAAAACTTATTGGAACAACCATTTACTTTACTTGTCAGTATTACGGTATGTAAAACAATTATTATTTTCATTGTGAGAGAAGTAAATGGAAATATATTTTTTGGCAAATTATTACAAACATATGGCATTCACAGCAACATACTCTACAGATGAATACTTAATTATGTGCGAAAATAACAATAAACTATAAGCTGCTATTTAGCCATGTGATTTTCCTGTGATTGCCCAGTGAAGTCGCATAGCTAGTTATTGAAACTAACATGATGAAATGACAAAAATGAGTCACACATAGCCAAATCGTATAATGCTATCGCATCAGGAAAAAGACTTATAGAATATTGATATACTGTAGTTAATGCGCAAGTATCGCTTCTAAGCAGCGCGTTTTTGAACTATGAACAAGTGCAAACCAGCCCATATGGAGCAACTAAACAGATTTAAAAGAAATTTTACGTCTCAAAACAAAAAAAATTTAATTTAGGAACAACCAATATTTGGGCTACAACTTGATTCATATAATTTAATTATAAGCTATAATATATACAAGTATATAATATATATTGTATCAATTGCCTTTGTACATACAGAACGTTGTATTGTTTTAGTAGGCACACTCTATCTTGCCCTATGTTTAAACTTTTGAGCAATTCACTCCTCACTTGAAAACTTCGATGCTGAAGGTTATTACGTGTTGCAACGAGCCGTGAAAGAACGTCAAAATAAATTTTCCGGCAAACATACAAACGAATGTTTCTGTTTGATAATGAAAGATCCTCGCTCCATCTTATCCTCCTTACATTATATTGTCTATAATCTTGTCTTCCTTACATTATGAACTAACGTTACTCGTATATAAATAATTGTTTAAATATAGAAAATGCAACGTAATCAATTTAATTACTTCTTCTCGTAAATCAAAGTTTAACATACAGTAAACTATAAATTTACTGTTTTTTAAGGAAGCATCATCTCTAATGGACAAATTAGGCAGACAGAAACTGTCCAATATCAAAACTGCGTCATCAATTAAACAAAACTTATCTAACGGAAATCGTTGCGTCTTCACACAAGAATTGAAACTTGGTTGAAGTTTAAATTCACTTCTTCCGTAAATAAGATTTTAGAAAATGTTGCAATTTACAAATAAATCCAAAATATTGCGTTCTTAAGCAGTTGCGACAACGATTTTTCCGGCACAATTACATAGCAAGTTTTGTCTTACGAACGTATATAGGTATATATAGAAAGTATTGTTTATTTGAATTTCCGTAATCACAGTATTCGATGCGTTGAAGCAGGGCGTAAATATTGTAAGAAGAAGAAAGTACACAAAACTACAATTGCTAATTCATTTAATATTATCCCCTAAGAGTGAGAAATCACGAAACAGCCTTGTCGGGATGAAATTGTAGTTTTTTTGTGAAATTTCTTCTTATTATCAATATATAGGTATATAGGTATGTAAATAAACAACAGTAATACTTACTTCTTGCTTTCCTAAGTAACCTTACACATTCTCCAGACAGAATTTATCGTGAGAATCATGCTACAAAAGCTGATTATTTCTTTCGGAGGTTGGGATGAATAATGCAGAGCATACTTGAAATGCTCAATTATAAAACCATTTATATCAAAGCAAATGACTAACTAAAGGGAAATTCCAACATTTGTAGAATTACAGCGGAAATAGTTGTTTGAACCCCTACAATTTACTTAATGCTTGATCGAATGCATGACATTCAAATTGCTAATCCATACAGCAGCCCCAAACATTACACAGAATGTGTGAAATATATTTAAAATAGCCGCATACTGATTTTTTCTCTTTTTTGAGGCAATGTTTGGATGATAGCCTCCTGCAACTTCCTTGAGAGGATGTGTAATGTTAAAGCCCTTGCGAAAATTTCACATTTGTTTTAATATATGAAATGATATGTGAAACTTATGTAAATCTGAAACACTTCATATATGAAATGTGTCAATTTCATATGTGAAATTCCAATTTCATATACGAAATTCCAATTTCATAAATGAAAATTCCATATTCTCATTTTTACATTCTAATAATATATCATGGACTTAAAGAGCATATGAAACAAAAATTATGCTGTTTAGATAATATTTTCTTTGAGCGTAAGTTTGAAAATTACAATATATTCTAAACAGTTCATTTATATCACTTTTCATTCTCAGGATATAGAAGTTTATGGAATGTCCGCTTTACACAACTTTTTATCAATTTTTTCAAAGTTTTTCTTTAAAACAACTTACATTAAGGAGTTGGTAAAATAGAGATACCTTAAACAGGAACTTTAAAAAAATAGCTATATGCATGACTTAAGTGTATGGATGCATGCCACAGTACTTTGATTATTGATACAGGTCTCATAAAAAGTCATTTAATATACAAAATATACGATTGAGACTTACGCCACAGTTTAATTTGTCTGACTTGTTTCAGGGTTACTGTTAATAAGAACTGCCTTTTCTGTTATGTCTACAGATGCATGACAGGAAAAGATGTGTTTAAATTCAAGCACAAAACATCTTCCACATGCCAGCTTAGAATAGTTGACAAAATCATAGCCGTCTGGCCTGATCAAATTCTTTTGGCCAAAAGCCACAATAATAGCAGGCATTAAAATTTTTTATTTCTCGAATAAATTACCTCTTTCACATGTTTTCGCATTAAACAGACAATGGCATAAAAAATTTTGCTCTGCAAATCCTTAAAATTACTAAACATCTAAAAATTATTTACAGCCCTTTTTGAAAGGTTTGAAAGGTTGTGTGGATATTTTCGAGAAATGAAAAAGCATCCTTTATGAGCTCAATAGTCGACATCTATAAAGTAAAATAAAATGAAAACTAGAAAAGAAAAGTTTCATCACGTAAAGATTTATAATAGGTAAACAAAGTGTTAAAATGATTCACGACAAAAGCAAGATTTCTCAAATTTTTGAGAAAAAATCCATTGTTAAAAAAAGCTAGTATAAGAAAAAAAACATTGTTATTTTATTGACGAAAAAACACCACTGAAAACATCGGAGAAAGCTTGTCGCAAATCTAATCTGTCTTGTTAATATTTTTTGCATAGAAAAAAATTCCGAGAAGAATACTTTACATCAAATTCTAGAAGTTTATTTAGATACAATTAGCTATTAGCCGTGATTTACCTTCATCAGATGAATTTTCGTGATTATTAGTATCTGTTTCTTAAAAGAATTCACAATCTTTCAAATCGAGCACCTTTAAAACTTTATCCAGTTTTAAGTATTTATAACTTTTCTCTGGACCAAAAGAAATGTCATATTCTTCACCCATTTCGCACACACCATACGCAAATGGTTGCCAACTATTGTTTCTATCTTTGAAATAAATAAGACCTCCTGAATCACCGTCCTAAAGAAATTGATAATCGCATTTTACCTTCACGACATTTATGAAAATGGTTTTTCTTGATTTTCACAGACATAAGAATAGTTTCTATGACAAATTAAGCCTTTAATGTGAGTACTTGTACAAACATATACAAAATCCTTGCCATTATCCACTCTATGATAAAGCTCCTTATTTGCTACTTTTAATCTCAAAGCAAAACTCTTCATGTCATCTGTACCAAGACGCGTTAAATCGTCTTTATTTCCGACTGGAATAACATCATATGAACTTCATTGTTCAACTTACTAACTGCGTCAGACAGGGGCGGATCTAGTATTTTTCAAACATCAGTCATGGAACGCCCGAGGCGTTCCGCACCTGAGAGGGTCCGAGGCATTCTCTTCTGAATTTCAAAGCCTTGGAAATGCCATTTCAGCGTTTTAGAGCAATACAAACTGTTTATGTGGGCATCGTTTTTTGCGTAAAAACAACACATTTTGCTTACGTTTTTTTCAAAAAAAAAAATTTCTACCAAGTTGTCAGGTATAAACACCCCTAGAGACCCCATTCAAACCTGTATGTAATGAGTTAAGTTAGAAATGAGGGATTACAAGGGACAGTTCATAGATGTAGAAAAGGTCAGACTTCAAACCATGCAAGTTTATTGTAACCCTTTACCCATCTCCATATACAGTACAGGAAATTCACCTTTGGAGAAAAAACTCAAAATATTTTTCTGCCAAAGATTAAACAAGGATTATAAAATTGTGAAAATTTGCAATTAAGGACAGCTTAATGCCATTGATGATTATTATGCATTTCACAAGACTATTATCTTCTGTAAGTATATTCAAGGTGTGCTATATATCAATTACCAGTAGCATTGTATTTGCCAATACAAACAGAATGTAACCAACAGGCCTTTAATCATATAATTACATGAATGTTAAAATTGGTTCATGTGTCATGCTTACTGGTCATGATAAATATATTTTCATATGATCAAAGCTCGATTAAATGTAAATCTGAAATAATTTAGTTTAGAAATTATAATAATCATCAGAAAAATTACCTAGTGATCATGAAAAATACTTTATTGTTTTGCCAAATTTCAAGGTTAATCTGCATACCTAGGAACACATTTTTACTTTATAGAAAATTTATTTCATACATCAATAGCCCTTAGGACTTTCTGGCAATTAATGTGGTATGAGCCATAGATCAACACACCTAGACATCTCTACATGAGGTGTTCAGTTACAAAAGGGGTCAATATGTGATATGGGGCAACAATTCATGTATGTGAAATACACAGGTTTAATACCATTCCAGTCAAATCGTCAAAATAAAAAGCTTTGTGGATCAGAAAGACTCATAATCACAGTTTATAGTAAATGTGTATTATAACTATCCAATGATTGAATGATCAATGATCATAAACTGAACAGCCCCAAATATTTGTATTAATATGGTAAATAATAGCATGGCACCTTATGGCTTCAGTTTTTTGTCCATTGAAAAACATTTGAAGGAAGGAAGAATTTTGCTGCCATAAAACGGCCAAGATTCCCCAAGCACTAAAGAAATCATAGCTAAAAGTCCTTCGGCAACAACAATTCTAGAAGCATCTATCTGCTTACCATACGCCATATTGACATACATCGCATCACACACTCGCATAAATTTACTTTAATAATTTACAGTCATGCATGCACTTCAGTTGTCCTTTACTTACGATTTTGGATGCAAATTTCTGCTAAGAGAACTCTAAATAATGATGGCTTGCTTTTCAACATCAATGATTGAAATGTCTCTCGCGAGATCGTCTTTGCCAAGCATTTAATTACAATTCATCAATGAATTGTTCACCCTCTTGAAAAAATTCACAGCCTGGACAGCAGCATTCACTTCAATGTATGAGTTTGTGAAGATTTCCATAAATTCCACCTGATTTTAGTTTATATCATGCTTTAGAAAATTACTATGAAACGATCAAACATTTAATTCAGACAGTGAGCTTGACTATGTTAGTTCAGTTGCCTATCAGTCGAAATCGGTCAAACAATCATAGTAAGACAAAAATTTAAACATACCAATTACACGATAGCAATTGGACTTCCTTATCGGTCTGGCCACCCCGCTTATCGGTCGAGATTATTTCAGATCGTCCACTGATCTGGCTAATGACCTATGGAATGGCTTAAATAAGCATTCTTGAACTCTGTTATGGTTGAGCCAGTCGAGCCACCAGCTTATCAGTCAGCCAGTTAATATAATTCTAGACATGTTAAAATCTACTGATCTGTTTACTAAGGTGGTATTTATATAAGTTTTCATTTATAAAACAGAATTTTGACGATGAAATCCAAACGATTACAGAACGGGAATTTAATGATCACAAAAAATTGTAACCATTAATTTTGATAAATAATTTTTGAACTATATAAACATCAGTCGCGTGACTGATTTGACATACCGTAGATCCGCCCCTGGCGTCACATGGGAAAGTACCCAGTTGTTTTTCCTCGTCACAGTTTAGTGGCTGGTAGAAATACTTATTACCGTCATTTTCTTTTCTGGCATTCACGTTATCAATTATGATAAAAATCTCATTTCCTTGACAAATGTTTTGAAGGCACAAACTTGGTCTGTAACGCAAGCAACATGTGCACAAGTTAAAGCATTATATTTTTTATTGTTACGACAGATCATTGTAAGAGAGCCACGAGAGCTGTTACTTGGAGAACTATTGTTGTCAACAAAACTGTTGATATTGCCAAAGTGCAGGTTGCCATTTATTGGCAACGTAGTATCCTCAACACGGAGGTTTGATAACAGTCGAAACTTTGGTGCTCTCAATGATTTACTTTTCAATTCAATGAAAATAGAAGCCTTCCATCCAAACTTATCACAGATCTCTTTTCTTAAAATTTCTTCAGATTTTCCTTCTTGGTCATCAACTATGACAAAGAAATGGGGATATGGCATTTTTTTATTTGGACCCACTGTTCTGTAGCCTTCACAAATCAACAACAAACTACAATAAAACAAAAAAAGTATTTTTGAACACCAAAAAATTTGATTGAATGACTAGAACGCAACATTAATTATAACTTGCAATGACAGGACATCATCCTATCACAAAAATATTAATCCGGCAAAACGTTTTTTACTTGTTTCGGGTTTTCTTGTACAATTTTCATGTTATATTTCCAAAGCAAATCCATACCTCTTGAATACATCATGTATATCATCTCGAATGTCATGATCTTTGTCAAGAAATTTATTTTCAATAATATCCACCATTCATGATGTATAGTCAGCATCAATTTCTAGACGGATGTAAGAAACATAGATGTTACACATTTTGACTCCGACTTATACAAGAAGATATTCGTACTGTTTTTGAACACGAGAAAATAAGGTTATTATTTCCAGCCAACAAAAAACAAACGTCGTAATAACAATATTCGAAACTAACTAAAGTGGTCTCAATGAAGCTGTCTTGGTGGAGTACAAAAAATTGCATTGTTGAAAATTTTGGAAATTTAATATCAAATTCTCTAATGTAATTCAATTAATTTTTTTTCTTAATGTAGTTACTATCAAGGTTAAGATTTTCTACAGAAAACATTAGGGGAGAGAAAAAGAAGTGGAAAGATAAAGTTTGAAGAATTAAAGTTGTTATAGAATATGTACTCCTTTGGGTGATTGCCAGTTTCTCTCTTTGATGGTTGGTAAGTGCCCACGTCTCTGCTCCATAAGTCATTGCGGAGTATGGAAAGATCAATACTCGGTGTCACGAGGAGAGATAAGATCCGGAATGAAGACCTGAGAGCAAGAACAATAGTGAAGGATGTCATCGAGAAAGTTAATAAAGCAAAAGGAAAGTGGGTAGGACATCTAGCCCGAATGAAAAATCATGAATGGGAAAAGAAAACAACTGAATGGACCCCGTGGAACAAGAAAAGAGGCAAGGGAAGACCAAAAAGGAGATGGAGAGATGACATCGAGCAGAGAGCGGGCAGCATGTGGACCCAGAGAGCCCAAGACCGTGAAGAGTGGAGAAAGATGTGGAGGCCATCCACCAGCAGTGGCGTGACAGGCTGATGATGATGATGATGATGATAGAATATATTTCGTTTCTGCCAATTTTATTTCTTGCCTTTAGCTCACTGTCGTAAAAACCTTTAGTATTTTATCTACGTAGACAATATCGTCTTTCACAATTTAGATGGGAAATGAAGAGCAAATTCTATCATGAGTTGTTTTATTTACGAAATAAAATTATAATAACGTACTTTCCATGCAGAAACATCTATTAAAACAAATTCCATCCAGCATTTCAAAAATTTATTTCTGACAGAACATTTTCATAAAATTAGAACAAAAATACTTGTTCAAATTGACCTATCGTTTGCGATTATCGCTTTCTCGATAACATTTCTTTATTCAAAAAGGTTACAATCATCTCAAGGTATTGACGCAATGACCAATCTTTTGTTTTCAATCTTCAAACCAAGATGTCAGCAAATTAAAACCGACTTCTTCATATTTAAGCCCAGTTAATGAAGAATATATAAAGATTGCAGCAAAAAATGTAAAATATATATTGGTAATTGCATAACAAAAACCGCAGGGTTTAAAAAACTTAGTTCAAGAGACAAAAAGTCACGTTCATCACAACGTGATGCTTTGTCCACTGAAACAAAGAAAGTTCCACATCTTGGTTTGCATGAATAGGACACAGTTTCATAATCAAGACACATATAGAGCATCACGAATGATATTCTTGCAAGTTTCAAAATAAGTAAATTTAATTCAAGAGACAAAAAGTCATGTTTATTAACAAATCATGACAACGCGACGCCGTTGTCCTTTTATGTAACAAAAGTTTGACATTTTGGTTTGTCTGAATAGGACACAAATATAAACATACATAGAAAGCATCATTAATGATGTTCTCGCACGTATCAAAATTAATCATACAACACTTTGCTTATTTGTAATTAACAATTCAATACATACTAAAACAGATGCATGGCTTACAAAAATCTCAGGAAAACAAAGAAATTTGTGGCTCATTTGCTTTTAGAATTTTGGATTTAAGAAGCGCTTGTTTAAGAGCTTGTTCGGTTTGGGAAACATTATGACATCTTATTAGCTATACCCTTCATCATTATAATGATGAGAATGACAAATAATTTCTGGTCGAAGAGAAAGTCTGTTTAACGAAGCATAAAATAAATAAGTCAGAGGGTTTTATACTGACCAAAGCCGGGAGAACTGTTTTATTGTACAAATAAAGGTACTGTTGTGTTGAATCGTTAAGAGAATTTACACATATATACTTTTATGATTGCTTTTCCATTATGTTGCTTAAGTCAAATGTATTATTTGTCTTTGTATCACAAGGAAGACTCTCCTTTAACACTGATGGTGGAAGCGTAGCTACTTTTTGTGTTATACAAAGCTCTTGCCGAACGGGCATTGCGTGGATAACTCGAGGCAACAGCGTAACTCATTGTTGCAGCTAAGCAGAACTCGAAAATCCTCAAAAAATTGTTTACGATGAGCCATGTCCAAGGTTCTAGAAAAAATGTATCGCCATTGACAGATCTAATCACCAGAACTATTGTGTAACTATATGACAGAGCAGAGAGCAAACCAAATACGGCCGTCAAGAGTGTAATTCTTAAGATTTTTTTCCTTGCCGTTAGACCATTTGGTGATACGCGGTGGTGAGCTTTGGAGTCGTCAAATTTAAGAAGCGATTTCTGAATTGTTCTCTCTTTTTTTAGCACACGCCTTCCACTGATAAGTAAACAAAGTGCGGTAGTCAAACATCCAAAGAAGTAATAAAGGCACAAAAACCAACAGCACTTCCACGTCTTTAACATATCTTGTGAGAAATTCCACAGAAATCACCGCAAGAAAATGCAAGACAAGAATTACAGTGACCACTCTGCTTCCGATCGGATTTTTCTTCATAACCTGAACTTTGCTGAGTAACATAAAAATCTTGTACATAAATGTGAACCCAGAAAAAAGGCAAGGATAGCCAAGGGCAAACAGCAAGCGAGGCACAATGTACGGAACGCGTTTTGGTGTGTTGCTCATGATATCGTAAGGCGAAATACTTAAAGACAGCGTTCTGGTCAATCCGAATAATATGACAAGAACTTGGACAATACTGATGTAGTTCTTCCTCGTCGTGCTCTTCAGGCGGAATGTCTTGTATAACTGATAGCCATTATACAATGCTAAAAGACTAAAACATATTGAAAACGTTATCCAGTGAACTTTGAATAAAATCAACCAGGCATCGCCGACGGAATTGAGATCGATAACGGGCTCTGCATTGGGGTAGGAAACACCCTCGTCTATTTCACTCGAATTAGTACCGTCGGAGTGAATCACTGCCTCAGGAGAAACCATTTTATCATTCGACTAAAACTTGCCGGTTCTCATCAACACTACTTCCAAAACAGCTGGTCACAAGAATGCAACGTTAATTTTATAGCGCTTCACGTGTATGTCGAAAATGCAGACAAAACCGAACTCAGTAGCACCGATATAGAGTTACAATATGAAAAAGTAGTGTTGTGAGCACAACTTCTAACTGAAGTGAATTTACCAATACACAAATAAATTCTCCTTTTATTCCACTTGCAATGTTGACATTTGACATGCAAATGACGTTGTCACGTAGGTTTTTTTAAGTTATTATTTAACACACAGCTTGGGTTCGAGAGCTTTACCGTGTATTAAAAGAAAAATTTAAGAGTTGCATTCATTGCAAGTACGGCATATAACGTTTCTAAAGAAACTTGCTTGAACATTGATGTTTGTAATAGCCCATTTTCCCAAATCCGAACTACTTCACGAATTTCCAACAACGAACATTCAAATCGCACAGAACAAAAACTAATTTTCTGGCATCAATTATACATAACGTGCAAATGAACATAGCTACCTATGAAATTACAAAAACGTAGTTTACAGAAAGATCGAACAAAATCCCTGCAGTTTTAAAATTGATTTCCGCAAGATCAGAACAAAAATAATTTTTCTTAATTACCTGTCGTTTGTGATCATCTCTTTCTTGGAAAATCTAGCTACATACTTCAAAATACTAACAGTCTGCAATCCCAAGGTATATGAACGCTGTGACCAATATTTTATTTTCAACGTCAAAACAAAAAGCGAGAAAACAAAAATTTATTTCTATCGCATTCAACTCAGTCAATGAAGGATATAACAATTCGACTGTAGCACAATATATATATACGTTAATTATTGCCTGGGACTGAGAGTTCCAAACTGAAAACATATTTTTTAAGTACGGACTCCTTCGCAACTCTATTTTGGGTTGCATTGCTGATCTCGAAGGAAGGCCAAATCGGGATGTAGGCGTTTTTCCTATTGATTCTCTTTACCATACTACGTTGCGATTTGCTGAATTATTCGAGCTTGAAGAGGCTGTTCTGCAGTTAATCTCAAACTCAAAAGAACTTTTAAATGTCAATGTTCATCATGATATTAATCCATCTTCTTCATTGAACTACTCTTAAGTTTCCAGTGGCACACCAGGGTGACCAATGTATGAAGTAAACGAAGATATTCTGCGTTATTTTTTGGATAACTGTTTTACAGTGAAAGATACGGCAAATATTCTGGGTGTCAGCTAAAGAAACATTGAAAAGAGAATGAACGAGTTTGGTTTATCAGTTTCTAATTGTTAAGGATTCAGAGCTCGAGTTGGTCATAAGAAACTTAACGAACGAGTTTCCCAATCTTGGCTACAAACGTATGTCAGGATTGCTGTTAGCAAGATGTTTGCGAATTCAGCAGGAAAGGATTCGTGAAATGATGCGAAGAGTTGATCCACAGGGTACATTGTTTCGTGTTTTGTCTCTTAGAGCAGTGCGCAGACGTAAATATCATGTTACTAGCCCCTTATCACTTTGGCATGTTGATGGCAATCACAAATTGATTAGGTGGGCTACTAAAAAATACCTATTTTTGGGCGTTAATAAATCTCAGTTTTGCATACAAATGTACTAGTAGTTTCATAATTACAGATGGAGATTTGTGACTCATGCAGGAATAGACGGCTATTCACGCTTGGTGGTATTTAATCGCTGTGGCATAAATGATCGCGCTGATACTGTTCTAAGTCTATTTCTATCTGGTTTATCTCAATAGGGACTGCCATCCAGAGTAAGAACAGCTAAAGGATGTGAAAATGTTGGTATTGCTCAATTTATGTTAAACCACCATTTGCGAGGACCTGGTCGTGGCAGTCATATTAATGGAAGAAGTGTGCACAACCAAAGAATTGAGCGCTTTTGGCGAGATCTTTTTGCTGGTTGTGCAAGTCTTTTTTATCATTTATTCTGTCATGTGGAAAGTAATAGAATATTGGATTCATCAAATGAAAAACATGTGTTTTATTGCATTATGTGTTTTGTCCAATTATTAACAGAAATTTGGAAATTTTCCAGGAAGGTTACAATAGATCTACCATAAGACCAGAATGAAATCAATCACCTGAACAGCTATGGATCCGAGGATCCTGCTTAGCCAATAATTCAAACAACCATATACAACAGGTATTTTTATGCAATAACTCATGACTTTACTTTTAGACTCCACTTTACATTATAATCAGACTGGATCCAAAGCTGATTGATGTTTGTTAAAGTCAAAATCTAAGTTCATCTTTCAGTTCACTTAGGTAAACCAAGAATTTCCTCCACCTTTACACAAAATTACGCATTTCATGAAACAGATCAGCAGCAAGTGATTGTTCCAGAAACCAACATTCCATTGAATTAAATAAATCTTGATGAGCTGCAAAGAACCATTAATCATTTAACGCCTTCTAATAATAATGGAGCTGACATATACATTGAGGTGCTTCAGTTTGTAAATACCAGACTGCACCAAGAAGACGAGTAACATTGTGAACTCACAAAAGAAGAAAAGCTACTTAACCTATTGTTCATTGGTGTCAATTCAGATAATACAAAACAAGATATGTATGTCAAGGAAGGCTATAAATTTTTCATTATGTTCATCATTCAAACATTTTAGCAGAAAACGTTTTTTAGCACATAGCTGATGCACTGCCAGAACAAAATTTAATGAAACATTAACATATTCACTTTAAGTCTTTAACTATAAAAATGACATCCAAAAGAATGAATAAAAACATTTCAATTTTGTTCAACATCCATATTAGCTGTAACAAGTTATGTTATTGCTGAAAGAGATGTATAAACTATTCCAAGATCAAATATTGGTGAACCCTTTTGAACCAAATTGCAAAGCTCTATCCAGTTTAGCTTTCAGTTCATCAAAGTTTTCATAACGTCGAAGAACAAACAAATGAAAACAAGTTCTATTTTTAGGCAGCAGATTACGATCTTTTGTTCTGTCGACTTTGAGATGCAGGATTACACCATTTGCAGGCAGTAAATCACACCCAGTCCAAAAAGACAACAGATCTTTAAGATTTGCCCCTAGGAATGGACAGGTATTAAAGTATTAATATAACTAGTACCTCAAACAGTCAAACATTTAAGTTTTCGTTGGAGAAAGCAAAGGTCAAATTTAAAAGCAAGAAAATATTACTGACATTGATCTTGTTCA